CTTCAAACTTCATAGAAATGGGACCATGCATTGAGAATTACATTGTTTAGGTGGTTTTATCATTGTAAAAACACCAGAATGTTATCCCACGAACTTACATAGTATGGTCTACTACTCACCTATGTTAAGCTGCATCACGCGCGCGCACACACACACACACACACACACACGCACGTACACATGCACACACACACGCACACACGCACGCACGCACACACACACACACACACACACACACACACACACACACCACATACACATGTGCCCTACTGATCCCAGGAACATTATGAGCAGAACAACAGAAGATTATATCAAATCAATAAAATGACATAATCAAGAGATACAAGTAAGACTCTGGCTTGTGCCACTCTTTTAAACTAAATTGTTTTTGCAAGTAGAAGTACCCCTAAAATAATTATAAAAAGTAAAGCATATTAAGTATGTAAAGTAGCAGCAATTATCTAACACATATTGTGAAGTGCACACAACTGTATACAGTACAGTTTCATATGACGAATTGTGCTGTAGTTTGTTTATACCAGGATCACTACAAACATGTAAGTATAACATTGAGTTGTGATGATAGGATGACTATGAAGTTCCTAAACAATGGGGTTTTCAGTTCTGTTATAATCTTGTAGAGCCTCATAGTACCTGAACATATGATACATGACTGCGTTTAAATCCTTGATTTCTCTTTGCAATGTTTTATAATATGAGCCATACACTTAATTATGCATTTTATGTTCTAAAGATTTAAATTCATAATCTGATTTTTGAATTATTCATTTTTAGTGCATAGATCTACAGTTGGCTTTTACAATTGTGCCTGGACACTGAAACAATTCTATACAAATTTACTAGCTGTAATGTTTTTTCTTTGGTGTGCACTTACTAACTTACATGCATATGTATCATATTATAATTCTACAATTATGTTGTTCCCTCTACAAGAACTGTGTATTTATTTAAATAAATTTGTCTAACAATGACTAGAAGTCTAAAAGCATTAAGAATAAACTACTCTTTTCTCTCATAAATTTTAAAGACAAACTAATCTCTGATCTCTAAACTTGATGCCAGCTGTTTTCCATACTTGTTGTCCATCAGGGAAACTTTATAAACCCACAGTTATTATATCAGCTACTGAATTTTACTAACCCCCTTTCAACACCTTTTACATGGTTTTGCCCTCTAGTCTATCCACATGCTATGCTGGACTAATAGAATTATTTGTTGTTGTAAAGTGAACTTTGAGTTTCTATCTAGTTTCTATCTGCAGACTGTTTTATCTTTCCAAGGTTGTGGATTACACTTCATACAATTTTTTTGGCTTCCAGATCCTTGCTTACACTTGTCAATAGCTTCCAGTTCTTATAATTTCTAGCTCTGGAGATTGTTTCAAAGTGATGCTGACATGGTAGAACAAGGTGGTAACTGATCTTCTCTTCTCTGAGTGTCTATAGAGGATTAGGACCATTTTTTTTTTTGTTAATGCTTGTAAGAGTTTTCTGTGCCTGGATTTGCCGTTGATTAGCTTTCACTGATAAGGTATTTTATTGCCTGTGTATGGGTGTTTTGCCTGCATGTAATTCTGTGCGTGTGGATGCCTGAAACTCACAGAAGCCAAAAGAAGATACTGAATACCGTGGAAATGTAGTTATAGATATGGAAACCATTATGTGGGTACTGAGAATAGAAAGAACCACTGAACCATCTCTCCAGTACCTCCTTGAAACCTCTGACTCAACTTCTTTAGCTGCCTTAGATCTTGTTTGAATGCTTGTTTAGTTATTACTAATTGTATGTGTCTGGGAATGTGATATGATATGATGTGATCTGGTGGGCACACATGCACATGTGTTTGAGCGTGTGTTTGCATGTGTGTGTGTGTGTGTGTGTTTGTGCATGTGTGCATGAGCACATGCACTAGTATGTGTGTGTACCACATGTCAATGTCAGAGTACTTTAGCTGCCTTAGATATGTTGACTATCTATTTATTCTTTGTTTGTTGTTCCCCTTGTCCCTGACATGTGTGTGTGTGTGTGTGTGTGTGTGTGTGTGTGTGTGTGTGTGTGTGTGTGTGTGTAGGAGTTACAGATAGGCCAGAGGACTTTTCATGATACATTTTAGGTCACAGTCTTTCCAAGAATATTTCTCTCTTTTGTTGTTTTGTTTTGGTCTGCCATTCCTGTTACACATTTCTTTTCCCAGAAAACTTGCAAGTCTTTTCATTTTCTAAGTAGTTTTCTTCCTTCACATGATTTGTTGTGAATGATATGTCTTCTAAGAAAATAAAGGTAACTTGTTATTTGCAAGCCTGGCTTCTATTTTTTTATCTCCTATGATTTGGGGATAAAAAAGTACTTTTGGATACTTTTGGAGTATAATTGTCAGCCACTGAGTTGACATAGTTTATGGTGAAGTACCTCTATCTAAAAAGACTGTTACCTTCTTCAAATAGGGCTTTTGGGCAGGGGGTCAGCATTACATTTCATCTTCACTTGAGTGCTTTGTCTTCTGAGATCTTGTGCATAGCTTTAGGGGTCACTGGAGGGAAATGTCTGGGCTTTCTCTAGACCTTTGGAGCCTGTGGCACTATCCCAAAGCAGGACTGTAATCCTGAGTACATGATCCTTGCTCCTGGTGGATATCATCACATCTGCCAAAGCATGGCTGGGTGTTGTATTTCCATGTTATCCCCAGTTAGCTAAACCCCTCTTAACAGTGCTTTGCATCTGCCTATGGCTAGGGCTAACCTGGCATAGAGCCTCACTAGTAACCGGTGAAGAAGAGAGATGCCCTATTGCTAAGCCAAAAAATAACCCTTCCCATTCTTATCCAAAATTCAGCAGTTGCCAGCACAATGGCATAGACTGTAGATAATTTTAGAGCACTGAAGAGAAGTTTGATTAATTATTTTCTAGCTTAGATACCATTTGGCAGAAGAGATTTGTTGATTTCCACATAGCCTGAATTCTCACCATGTATGAAATTTTAAAATGTTGATTCCAAACTTGGTAAGAATAATTAAAAACAAAAATGAATATCTCTTTTGCCTTATATACCAAATTACAAAATATACGAGGCATTACTATTCAGAAGTACAATAAATTTTATTCTGATTGACTATGATACAGCTTAAAACAATAGTCTCATACCAAGAAATCGCTAATATTATTATATTAAAGGCTAAAATTATGTTAACAGTTACAGAAAAGTGACTTGATAATGACCAACACACATCTAGCAGACTGGGAATCAATATAGCTTCCTGAAAGTTGATAAAACTCATACTAACTCCCCAGAAAATAAATACAGTTAGTAGATAAAACTGTAGAGGTGTTTCCATTAATATGAGGAAAGACACAGTGTTTTGATGTTTAGGTTTTAGATGTTTAACCGTAAATCCTTGCATTGATGTAAGGAATGAAAGAGAACTAAAGAATTAATTAATAATAAAAGAAAATAATTACATTATAATTGGCATAGTGATATCAATTGCTAAGAAAAAGTCATAGGAACCATCAAGTTAAGAGAATTAGCATAGAAAACAGAAGCCCATCATTTTATATTTTAAGACTCCCACTTGAATTTTAGTTAATTTCATTCTACAGATGTAAACACGCAAGTAGTTGTAGTATTTAAATAGATTTGTAAAGATTGGTGTGTGTGTGAGAGTGTCCATTGTTTGTTTGTTTTTTCTCATTTACTTGTGTCTTATGTTTTTTAATACCATTGGTTGACAAAAGTTCTAATCAAGGAGACAAATGGAACAGAAGAAAGGAAATTGCAGAATGGTCTTCTGTCAGAAGAGAAACAGATTTCATAGTAGCAACCAGTCCTCCTAGCCTTAATGACTTAAAAGATAGTCCCTTTAATTACAGACAAAGGATTTGCAGGTATTGGCTGACTGAGTGGCTGGCCTGGTATTATTTTAAGAGTGAAACTGACTGAGCCCTGAAGAAGAATTTAGTCAACTATGTTTATCACAGAGGCAGAAGTTCTCAGACATTCCTGGGCTGTGCTGCCAAGGAAGACAGTAGCTGGGTTAGACCATGGGTGATACAAGTGATTCGGGTGTGTCTACCTTGACTGATCATTTTAATTATATGTCAGGCCAAAGGAGGAGGAAGAGAAGGAAGAAATTAAAGAAAAAGAAACACAGGGGATCTGGAGGTGATGTGCTTGTCAAGCTATCTGGTAACAGCTTATGTTTGGTCAACTAAAATTGTGAGATTTTTGTAAGACAGACATACCCATCAACCATCAATATGGAAATATTTATCTTATTTATTTTCATATTTTCTATAATAAAATATATTGATCCATTGAAATGGTTGTGTGATTCTCCTTATCTTTTTATTTTTATTTTTTATTTTACAACTTGTTTTTCTTTTAACCATTGGGCATTAAACTTGTGCAAAACATTACCTTGAGCCTCAACATGCAAAGTAGACACAAATTAATCCAACTGAATTAGGAGACCACTCCAGGTGTTATTCAAGACATACAAGAAGGAATTAGAAAAAGGAAAACAAAGGGAAAAGATATTGTATCACATGTCTGCTGATATATGTTAAACTCTGTGGCTGGCTTTTAAATTTTAGTTGATAAAATAATGGCACCCAGAGATACACAGATTGCCCAGATTACAAAGAAAACACACATTCTGAGATGTGTTATTATCTCTGTTGTCCAAGAAAGGTTCTTACAGGAACTAGACACATAGGAGGTAAGAGGAATAGTCCCAGAAAATTCACAACATATGACCTGCTCCACATCTTAGCATCTGTCAGTGTCTTCTGAGTTGGGTCATGGGTTGGGCCTATGGACAAGCTGTACCAGATACTTAGCCCACCCTTAGACTAAGCCATATTCCCTCCCTTCTAAATGACTGGCTTCACAACAGGTAATTAGGAAACAGACAGATAACTCTAAATAGAGTCCAGCATCTTACCAAAAGCAAACATGATTGACTGATTCCAGGCAGACTTACCTTTGCTGGGGCAGTTTCCCTGGTGGCTCTTGATAAATCTCTCACGCTTTTCTTGGATTTTGCTTCTTTTTTGCTGAGAAAGAGAAAGAGGAATAGCACAATCTGATGTTAAAATTGCTTTCCAAACGTTAGGAATAAAAACTTAGTTGGGCAAGTTGCTTTTGACTGTTAACCTGCCAGAGTGAAAATAGGTCTCTCTCTCTCTCTCTCTCTCTCTCTCTCTCTCTCTCTCTCTCTCTCTCTCTCTCTCTCTCTCTCTCTCTCTCTCCCCCTCCCTCCCTCCCTCCCTCCCTCCCTCTCTCTCTCCTCTCTCTCTCTCTCTGTCTCTCTCTCTCTCTCTCTCTCTGTCTCTCTCTCTGGTTTTTTGAGACAGGGTTTCTCTGTGGCTTTGGAGGCTGTCCTGGAACTAGCTCTTGTAGACCAAGCTAGTCTCAAACTCACAGAGATCTGCCTGCCTCTGCCTCCCAAGTGCTGGGATTAAAGGCATATTCCACTGCCTGGTGAAAATAGGTCTCTTAATGCATGATCACGACTGTACAGATATGTCCTCCATGTTCAAAAAATGTTCTTAAATATGGAGTAGGAGAGGCAAGAAACTTGGTGTTTAACTACAACTGACCTGGAATACTTCCTGCAGCAAGTATTATTTGCAACATTTGAAAGATTATTTACATTGAATTAGACAGCCATTCTCAATGGCAAAGCAACTCTAGCGATCCATAGTCCCCTTCTTCCCAGGTGAGCCAACTATTTTATTACATGATTTAACAAATGACTCTAGTAATACACTTTTTTATTCTTGTTTGAAATTATCAGTAATATTACACTATTCAAAGGTTTGATTTCACATGTATGACAAAAAGGAATCCTTGTTGTGAACAAAATGCTTGCTGGTTCACATGCAGCTTTCCCAAGAGTGAGAGAGTGTTGTACATGCATGGTCTCACCTGTCCTGCCCTGTTTCTTCATCCCTCAGCCTTTCTGACAGAAGTAACCCATACTTTTAGTGCTTTGTTATGTCAATGTTATTGAATATGTCACATCAAATCCTTGATATATACCATTATGACTTTAAAAAAAACCATTATAGGATAAGTGTCTTAAATAGATAAGCTTAACATTGCCTTGATGCCAGTGTTGAAGTCTTGACAGTATTCAAAAATAGAAAATGTGATCCTTGTTAAAAAACACACCAGAGACCTGCAGGTATGTGCAATGGTACAGTCTTTGCCTTAGGTTCAATCCTTGACATTAGGAAAAATATCCAAAAGAAATAAAAAAGAATTGTGCTACTCTGGCTTGAGGATTTAGAATTGCAATATCAAACCTTCTAGTGCCTTCTGTTTGTCACTGAAGAGAAAGAAACCAAGCTAAGGAACACTGGACAGATGCTGAGACATTGAGTAACAGCCTGGTAAATTTCCAGTGTTCTTCCTGAGCATAGCAGTGAAAGCTACATTCAGATTTTTAGTCCACCGCACCCTCTTGCAATCCCAGCAGATTCTCCTCTGGCACCTGAATGGGTCTAGATGCATTCTGCATAAATCTCTCTGCTAGCTGGAAGCCACCAGACAAGTCTGCTTTCTTCTTAGAGAACCAGCCTCTCAGCTACAGCAGAATCAAGTCTGAACAGGCCCAGGAATCTGACTGTCTTAATTGCTTTTTTATCTGAGAAGCAGGAAGCTCAAAGTGGGACTACATCCTGAGAAGACTACAGAGTGCTGGTTAAGATGTTCACGTGAGGCTACCTGAAAGGCCTTTGAAATCCCACTGAGTGATCATTAAAGTCTTTCTATGTGGGTGACAATTATCCAGTTATATCTGATGGGAGGTGCCAGAATGGTCTGCTCAGCAAGCGTATTTATTCTTCTAGGTTTAAAAGAAAATTTTGTTGAAAGAAAATTACAAATGCACCACCATTATGCCCCTATTATTTCAGAGACTAGCTGGTGATTTGAACATGTGGAAGGCAAAAGAGTTTACTCACAGTATCTGCTTGCACATGACACAAATATCTTGGTTCATGTCATTAGGGTTTTGAATAGGTTCATTGCCTTGGGAACACAACAGCGTATTAGTTTCCATCAGTGCTTGAAGATTTCTACATACATCCTGGAAAAAATATATATCATTTAATAACTTTGCAAAATAGCATTGTTTAATAGCACGATGCCCATGTAAAGAAGCCATTCAGTCAGTTCAGACAACACAAAAATAATGATCCTGGCTTGTCTGTTAGAAAGAGTAAACTTACCTAGTAAGCATTTATCTGATACAATTGATTAAACAGAAAAAAGTTTGGAAACAAAGGATCCTCCTTGATCTTCCATGGTAACACCAGTGACCTCTCAGAATCCTTAACATCTTATACTCAATTAGTAAAATGTCTTCTTTTATTACTACTGTTATGGTGACACTGGTTATTAGAATAATAATATGCTAAGCAGATAACATTAAATACTGTTGCATCGTGCTGCAATAGCAATCGAATGTGAGAGGGTTGCTAGAGTAATGAAATGAAGTGTATGAGCCCTGGACACTACCAAAGGGTTCTACCATACAATCGGAAATGTATATTGCATTTCTCATAGCAATATTATCAGTTATTAAATGTTTCCAAAATGTTCCTTCATATTTGGAAGACACGTTTCTATGATGATTCATTCTATGGACAAATTCCAGATATTTTGATACACCAATGGCCTTATGTTTGAGACTGACTTACTTCAGAGAGGCCGAAGATTCAGGACTCTTCTCCCAATGGTTTAGGACAGGCAAAGGCACTTGGAATTCCATTTTAACCTTTGGAACACTGTCTAGTGCTACTATTATCTGTGCAACATCCTCAAGGACATGTTGTGATATTCTCTATTTGGACTTCCTTTTGGTCAATACTAGTGGTCCCTCTTTACCAAGTTTAGAAGCATGTGGGGGCTACTTTGAATATTAAAATCAAAAGGATGGTGGAGCATCTCTGAAGTGAAGAGACACTGTATTCTTTCTGTGCTCAGTGTGTTTGATTGACAACCTACTCTCTGTACTACTTTACCGTTCCTAGTACTGAAGTACATCTGAAAATCAACAGTGTATTTGTGCTGGGAAAGCGAGCAGTGACTCAAAATGCTATCTTCACCACCAATGGGGGAAGCTTACTAGGCCCTTATTAAACTTGCCAAATCAAAGGTTAATGCTTTCTTTTATATTTTCCCCTAACAAATCTTGCTTCTATATGGCTTTCATCAGAAGACAAGTTATAAAGCTCTTGTTCCAACTATTAAACATACTTCTTTCAAGGAATTGTTAGCAGGAGTCTATGGACTCTACAAAAGCTTTATAGTAATTCAGTCCATTAAAATTCATTCATTATGAGAATACTGTTAAATTCAGTACAATAGTACATTAGTGAAGCAGCGGGAAGATGCCAGTCTGAGTAGCTCATCGAGACTAATGAGTACCATAGTATCTCATTCAGCTTCTTAAATATGATTGGAAGTTGCAACTACATACAGAATGATTAGTGAGGAGTAAAGCAGTATCAGTGACCAACCCATCACTGGGAAATCTAAGGGTGACCTGCTAAAACATATTTGACTGTTATCACTGCTCGGTGATCTCTTGCAGAGATGAAGTAGCAATTTATGGTAACAGAATAGGAGCTGGCCATCTCCAGATCTGGTTTCTGGTTCTTTGATGTTTTATGCCAATTTAGAAACTTGCTTCCTAGATTGCCAAATGTCAATGACTCTTTAGCGTTTCAGAAATTTGTAACAGAAAGGCTATATAGCCTAGCATCTTTGCAATAAAAACATAGCTATTGTTAGGTAGATATTGGGCAACATGTTTAGAAAAAAAGTCATGAGAATAGTAGAATGAAACTCAAAATACTTTTAATAGTGAAATAATTACAGAACAGCATTATTCCAGAGCATTTTTGACTGGACTCTACAATGTCACAATTAGATGTAATCCTTTAAGAGATCCAGCTTTTAGAACAGCAGCAACAACAACATCAACGAAACAAAACAAATGGGAGCCAGGTGTTTAGGGTGTGAGTTAAGAAACTTGCACACAGTGTTTAGTGTGCTCAGAGATCACTGAATTTTAAATTCCCCAGGATAGTTACCTGGGAGTCAGTGAAAGACCATACAAATAAATGGAAAGCACTAAATGTGTTTCTCTTTGGGGAAAACTGAGTGTTCCTAAAATTAAAAAAACAAAAACAAAAACAAAAACACATGACGTTGATCCTGGGGCAGATCATCAGACTGAGATACCATCCCTCAGAGCCATGGGACATGAATTTGTCATGTAACACCAAGTGCTCAGCTTGCTTTTGTTTCACTAAAGTTGCTCTCCTTTTCCACATCATCTCAGGAAAAAAAAAAACTGGATCTACCCCAGGTCACGTGCTTCTGTTGTTGTCTTCTGTTCATTCACATACCTTGCAACCAAATCTTCCAGGAGCTGGTGCTGCTCCCAATTTTGTATTGCAATGCTAACAATATTGTTTTGGCTTAATAATGACCCTAGTCTCTGATGACAGATTTGAGCCTATTTGTAAGATCCTTGCTGGTGACGAGAGTGCTAGTCCATGGTTTTCTGGCTCACGTTTAAAAGTTCAACAAGACTCTGTAATGCTAGGAGGACCCAAGATAATGAATTTTCAGGAGAACAAAAAACATCTCAGCATCAAGAACAGTTTTTATGGGGGGAAAATATCCAAAGAGTATTCCTGAAAACTTTCCCAGAGTGATGACTGTTGTCTTGTGTGCATCTTGGCTTTTATGTTAATATAACAAGGTAGCTAAATCCGTGGTTTTAAAGAACATTTTAAGTACAATAGAATTGAATGACATGAAAGAAATTCAGTGCAAACCACTGCCTGTGATCTGAGATTTCAACGTGTGTTCTCTAAAACCCAGACTCTACCATATTCTCTTGAACTCTCATTTATTAGTTAAACTTGGGAGAAATGATAGAGATTATATATTGTGGAAGTATTCTAGAATATTTATATAACAATGTTTCTTATCTTAAAAACAGTTGCAGGCAGATACAAATATTTTAACCATATTTTGAAAGAAATTTTCGGGAAAGAAAAGTTGCTTCATTTCTTTATTTAATGTTCATGGCTTTTGAGAGTTATAGCAAATTTTGCTACACATGCAATATTGTAACACCAATGGTTTGCATAGCAGCTTGTGGACAAAAATAAAACATGTACATGACAAAGACCTGGCATTTTCAAATGTCTTTCAAATAGATATAAAATATATTTCTATACAAGATGATTCTTTTACACCTCAATAGCAGGTCTGTCATAGTCGGTTCCATACCTTCCTGCATCCAGGGTTCTTGCCCCCCTGTTGCTTCTTCTGGAGCTGCTGTTAGCTGGCAAGATCTCTCTTGGTTTTTGATCTTTGTTCCTATGTTTTCTCACCATGAAAAACTCTATATGTTTATCCCATTTAGAAATGGAGACTTCCTTTAGATCTGGGAACATTCCACATCTTAATCGTTTTCTTCCTAGTACTGTTATTGAAGGTGTCATATATTTTTGTAATTTACCTGTGAATCCCATTGTTTACTGTCACAAAAACTAAAGATTCAGAAGTCATGAGCTATATGTCTTTTGTTTACTTTAGAATATACTGCCATTTCAAATAAGATCAGAAATATAATAGGCATGAAATAAATATGTATTTAATTATATATACACATATGTTTTGTATGTGTGTGATAACCCTGTAATGTCAACAGACACATCTTCTTTTGCATAATGGTTACCAGAAAATACATGTGTCATATACTGGCTTTTTCACCTGCTGAGTGCAAAAATATAATTTCTTGGTTGAAGATTTTATGTTTGTCTATGGAGTTTTAAAGTACTATTTTAGCATGGTAGCTTTCCTCTCACAAACACCTTATATCAATAATCTATTGAGACAGATAGAGTGACAGAGACTGAGAAAGATACAGAGAGATTCATATCCACATTTTTAAAGTTATTGGTGCTTGTTACTATGCTGTCTGTGTTATTAAAATGAAGGTGTTGGCCACAAATTATTTTTCTTTCGGGAACTTGTAAGAAATTAAATGAGAAGAAGCAAGACTGACCTGAATTGCATCCCCACTGGCGGCATCTGGGACAAAAATGTAGAAACCAAAGTTAAAAGAAGGTAAACTATTTTATAAATTGGACATATGATTTACTCAATTCAGGACTCTTATTGCTTTACTGACAATGTATTCTACAACCACAAATTATCTAGAATCCATTAAGATCTATGGTAGCAAATCAAATGATGGCACTGTCACAGAGGTAGTCACTTAGGAAGGTCCATCTACTTTGAAAAATAATGCTCAAATGGTTTCTAAACCTACCAAATTATCAGATTCTTCAAAAACTCATAGCAGAGTGAAGCACAGCATTCTCCGTTGACAGATGATAGCATAGCGCATGTGCCAAATACACCATACTAATTTGAATATAACTTGAAACACCCAGGGACTATGAAGTTTAAATTATATATAATTTAATATATAATATAGTATTACATACAATGTAAAAATGAAATGATACATAATATAAATGTACATGATATTCCATTTTCTGAACTTTGGCTATTCTACTTCTTTATTACGGATGCAAAATCAGAGATCTGTCAGGAATTAACATGATTTAAAGTCACAGACTATTACACCCTCATTAACTTACCCTTATACCTACATTTTTATTTTAGGAAACAATGTCATTTGCATATAATGATCTCAATAGCTTTATATCTGAGGTTCAGTATTTTAAAAATAACCGGTGAGAGAAAGGTAAATCTATGGAGCTCATGCCACCCTAACAGTCAAACACAAAATTAGAGAATTTATTTTCTAGCTCTCACAAAAGCCCTCCATTCTTTGAGAACAATGTTTTCAATTCATTTAGAATTTTAAGATAAAATAAATATATAAGGCAACATTGTTTCAAAACAGGAGCAGTCCATATAATTTATTTTAATATTCATTTTTTGCACATAGTATTAAAACACTTGTAGTAATTACATGGCAGTTTAAGTGTCTAATAACTGTACTTACCACAAACTGTATACTTGGTAAAGAGAAGATACAGAATAACCTATTGACTTTTCAGAACTAGTAAAATTATCAGAAGGGCCTCTCACAGATAAAGTTCAATTGTCCTCAAGCCACTTTCATTTTTAAGTATATTTCAACATTATATACATTATACACATATATACTTGAAATGTGTGCGAATTGCTCACCTTGTGTGAGATAAAGAGCCAGGGTCAGAAGCATTAGCTTTATTGCTGTCTTCATGCTGAAGATGATGTAGTTGTTACTGGTCTGCCCTGTGCATTGCTCAGCTGGTTCTCTAAGACTGAACATGTGAGCTGTAGCTCACCTTTATACATACTGGTGACACACACACACACACACACACAGAACCAGTTGTTCAGGCTCATACAAGACTCCTTAGATGACACCAGTTTAGTTTCCATCTTGTGAGATCCTGTCAAGGTATCAGATTTAAGCAGATCATGCCTGTTTCTAAAACAGTAATATGTTTTCATGATACTCATCCCAGAAGGCTAGGGGGAGGACCCATTGAAAGCCTGTAGTTTCTAATCCTATGTGAGCTCCTCCTGGGATGCCAGGCATGCTACCTCCTCATCTAACATGTTTCTCTCTAACTGACCTTCCTTCTTAAGTGAGGGGGAAAGGGAAAAATGGATTGATTGTCCTACCCGTTAAGAAAAATAGAAAGATGTCCACATCTGGGGAAAGATGTGTATCACGAGAGAACCTATGGTTCCCACTGACTCCATCCATAGATATTCTGAAGTGTGACTTAATATAGTGACTACAAAGTAGACATTCTTTTCACTCCACATCCAGGTAAAAGCAGAAACTTTTGTGGAAATGTGTCTTATACATAGGGCTTTTTAATACTTCTCCTGGGCTCCAGATGTAGTTCAACGGTGAAGTGCTTGGCTAACACATGAGAGCTACTGATTTCCTCCCTACTTAGAACCACAAAAATAATTCTCAATTGAAAGAAATTTTATCCTAACCAAATACCACACTCTTCATAAACAGTAGAGATTCAGGATTGGACTTTCCATAGCCCATCCATACCTAAATGATTCTGTTTCTACTAAATTAAATTTATTTGTGTGCTAGTTGGCCTTATTGCCGAGAAAAAATAAGTTTATACAGAGCATAAATAAATAAATGTGATCTTTTTATAGCATGACATTTGCTTGTTTTTCTCATTCTACAAGGAGTATACTCTGTAATACAGTTCATCCTTAAGTGCTAGCTTAGATCCCCCCACCTAAAGGACACTAGGAGTTTTTGTTGACTTCTAATAATGGAAGTGGGGTGTCTCTCACTCTTTTACCTGCTCGTGGGGCCCTTTCCCTGCTATAAGCTGTGCTGTCTATTCTTGAAATGAGGGTTTGCAGGTAGTCTTATTGAATCTTGCTTTGCTGGGTTTGCTTGATATAACTGGGGGGTCTGCTATTTTCTGAAGAGAAATGGAGGAGGAATGCATCTGGCAAAGAGGGTACTGGGAGAAAGAGAGGAAGGGAGACTGTGGTTGGTTAAGACATATAGTATAAGAGAAGAATAAATTAAAAAAATAACTGCAGCCACAACCAAACAATTTGATTTCAGTAATTCTCAGGATCCCCACATACGTAGAAAGGAAAAAAGTCCTGAAATCAAAGAACTTTTTATAATCATGGCACTTTCAAAGTCAGATTTTTCTCTCATAAAATAATTTGATACTCATAAAACAACCATTGACTACCAATTTTCTAATAGTTTTATCAAATTTCATTGTTCAATAAAAGTAGTGGCTGTGAAGAGCACGTCTATATGTCTGTCATATATGAAAAAAACAGTCTGTCATAACTTAGGGTAAGAAAAACGGACAGGCTGTCAGGAAGTCTGTTGCTATTCCTGTCTGTGTGACTACAGCATAATGGAAGTGAACCAGCTTTGGAACAAGGTCTCTCTGGGTCCAAAACTTGACTCACCTGTTACTAGGCTGCCTTGGGCAAGTCACTTCCTTCCTCTTAGCCTCAGTTTCCTAACAAGTAAAACCGAGTAAGTAATGCATGCACTGTACAATTGTAAGGCTCAAATGTGACCTAGGTGTTGAGATTGTGTGTGTATATAATTTTACTACTCTAACAATACCAAGACTATGTGGTTTGCTTTACAGCTGATGATAGCTGGTTTCCAAGTAGTGTGTCTGGGCTAGAGAATAAAGGTTATCAAGAAAAGTCAACCTGCTTGAGTCTGGAACTCAGTAACAGCTGCAAGTTTACTGATCACCTACATTCTGAAGTTAAAATGAAGTTTTTTTTAGTTTTGTAATTGTGTTCATAGGAACATCCTCATTCCTATAAAAGAATTTTAAATGTTCATGTGCAAATGCTAATATATTTTATTTTGCATTTGCATAGTCAGGCCACATGAAACCCTCTGAGTTTGGTAGTAGGCAAGTTAATACTTCACAATAGAATCAATGACTGTGTAAAATGACCTGATGATGCTGACTGCAGGCCAGATGAATACTAGTCTCATGGGTGGATAGAGAGCCAAGGAAGAACAAAAGAACCAACAGGTGAGTCTCTCTTTGAGGAATCTCTGCTATGAGGAAACCTGACGGAGGTGGATTCCTCCCTCCTGGCAAAGTGCTCCTCACTGTCAGCCAGAGCTGCCTTTCCCAGGATGGGAAGAATACCCAGTTCCCCCAATAACGAAAGATCCCATGAGCTGCCTCTGCCATCAGGGCTTTCTCTCCCGTTCACTTCAGGAACATTGCAAATCTGGAGATGATTAATCACAAGCTCTGTCAACAACTCTTTGTTTCCTAAAAACACAGTTGTTAGAATCAAATGAATGAGATTGATATTGGGCTTAGATCACTGCTGGACTATCAGAGAATCTCTCTCAGATCCACATCCTGGTCTTCTGAACATTAAGTTTACTCATCAAAAATACAGAACTCTATTTCCTCTGTCTAGAAAGGAACAGGGTTAGATGGTATAGTGATACAGTGCTAGCAATTGTATTAATGCTATGACCATACAGCAGAAGAATAGTAGTAGGCTTCTTTCTAGAGCCCATGACCTATCTCATCTTATGTTCTTGGCTTTGTTGACAGGATTTGTTTGAGTTCCATTTTTGAAATACAGTATTTCTAACTTTTTATGGATTTCTTAGGACCCCAAAATTTATTAGTTGAGGAGTAGCTACATTTTCTGGTATATTTTAGAAGATAAGACAAAATACTGTTTTCTTACTTTTGATTCCTTCTTCCTAGAATTCTGTTGTCACCTCTATCTGTTTCATGTCTTGATACATATTTGGGAAAGATACCAACTGAAAGACAGCCTTTCCTGAACTTCTTATCTTAGAATGCTTAGTTAACAATCCACTTCACCCCCTCTTCGAGAATTCCTTTCTGTTTACCTGGAAAGAATAAGAATGGAAGAGATAAGAATCTATTTGCATCTAAGAATAGAATGAGAAGGGTATTGTTTGTTCATTGAGTGCATAGACTGCTATTTATAGATATAATTATTGCTTTTATTAGATTACGGTTAAGAAAACAGGAAAGACTCAATGTCTAATTTTTAATGCATTAAGCATCACATGTGAAGTTGCAAAGCTTTGCTCTTTTTTTCATCATCTTTTTATTTCACATACCAACCACAGTTTCCTCCCACCTCCTGTTCCTTCCTCCATATCGCTCATTGTCCCCTATTCACTTCTCCTCCATCTTCACTTAGATGGGGTAAGGGAGTCAACAAAACTTGGCACATCAAGTTGAGGCAGGACCAAGATCCTCCTCCCTGCATCAAGGCTGAACAAGGCATCCTACCATAGGGAATAGGTTCCAAAGAGGCAGCATATGCATCAGGAGCAGGTCCTGGTCCCACTGGCAGGGGTCCCAAAAACGACCAAGCTACACAATTGTCACCAAGTTGCAGAAGGCCTAGGTCAGTTCCATGATGGCTCCCTACCTGTCTGTCCAGAATCCATGAGCTCCCACAAGCTCAGGTCAGCTATCTCTGTGGGTTTCCCCATCATGACCTTGACACCCCCCCCACTTGCTCATACAATCCCCCCCAGCCTCTATTCAGCTAGACTCCCAGAGCTCAACACATTGCTTGGCTGTGGATCTCTTCATCTGCTTCCATCAGGTATTGGATGAAGGCTTTATGATGACAACTAGCAGTCACCAATCTGATTACAAGTGAAGGCCTCTCCATTATTGGAGGAGTCTTATTTGAACTAATCCTTGTGGGTTCCTGGGAGCCTCCCTGGCCCCAGGTTTCTCCCTAACCCCACAGTAGCCCTCTCTATCAAGATATCTCCCCCATTACTCTCCTGATGTATCCTGCCCATGGCTCGACCATCTTGATCCCTCATGTTCCAATCAACCCAGGCCCTCCTATTTACCCCCAACCCAAAGTTTACCTAGGACATGCCATCTACTTCCTCTGTACAAGGAGATCCCTTCATCCCTCTTAGGGTCCTCCTTGTTACCTAGCTTCTGTGGCACTGGTTAAGAGCTGCAAAGGAAAAAGACTAAGTAATATAAAGGCAGAACTATCAGAATTATACCTAACTTCTCCATGGAGACTGCAAAAGCCAGAAGGTCCTGGGTAGATGTTTACAGACACTAAGGGACCATGGATGCCAGCCCAGATTATTATACCCAGAAAAACTTTCAATCAACACAGATGCAGATAACAAGATATTTCATGAAAAAACCAGATATACATAATATCTATCCACAAATCCTGCACTACAGAAATCACTGGAAGGAAAACTAAAACCCAAGGAACTCAATTAGAGCCACAAACATACACAAAACATAATCTCATATCAGCAAAAAACAAAGAAGGGAAACACACACTGCCATCACCACCACCAAAACCAAAAACCAACAGGGATTAATAATCACTAATCAATAACACCTCTTAATATCAATGGACTCAATTCACTAATAAAAAGGCATAGGCTAACAGAAGAGATATGAAAACAGGTCCTTCCTTCTACTGCATACAAGATAGCTAACCCAGCTTGCTTCATAGGACCATTTGATTGGAAAAACCTTTTCCCAACCCTTAACTCTCAGGTAACATCTGTCTTTCAAGGTGACATGTGTTTCTTGTATGCAGCAGAAAGACAGATTTTGTCTTTGTATCCATTATGTTAGCTTGTGTATTTTTTTATTTCTTTTTTATATCATTTTTATTTTAATTTTAAATAGCTTGTTTTACATGTCAATCCCAGTTCCCTCTCCCTCCTCTCTTCCCGCACTCCCCTTCCCCCCCTCCCACC